TGGCGGCTGCCAGGGCTGTCCAGGCCGTGATGCCGATCGAGCACTCGCGCCATGGCATCTCTGTGGCGAGTCGCGGCCTCCTTCGTGCTCGGGGGGGGTCTGCCACGGCCACGGAGTGCCCTTTCGTGCTGGCGCTGGCATTGATGGTGCTGTCGCTGATGCTGATTCATCGCCGCTGCTGCTGGTGCTTCGTGCTGCCGCTGCTGCTGGTGTTGCCGCTGCTGCTGCTTGGCCAGCATCTGCAGGAGCTTCTTCCTGGGGCACGGGAGGGGCTCGGAGTGGGACAATGCAGGGGGAGGTGAGCATGCAACTCAAAACAATCGACGACTAGCGTAAGCACATCGACGCTGTGTTGGTGTAGAAGGAAGCAGAGACAACAAATGCGGAGATATCCTCTCCAAGAAGAAAGGAGTGCACCGCCGCGTTCCCCATTTCGAGGAACGCCTCCATGGCGCCCGCTGCAGGGGGCCTCAGTGAGGCTCAGCGGAGCCTCGCAGGGGGGCGCGGCGCAGGCGGCCGCGCAAGCTGGAGGAGGAGGAGGAAGAAGAGGAGGAGGAGGGGGACGAGGAAGAGGAGGAGGAGAAGGAGGAGGGGAACGCGGAAACAATGAAAGCGGACAGACCGCTATAACAAGCAAATCTGGCAAACCCCAAGCGGCCAGGCCGCTGTAGCAATATTGGCGAACGCATGCAAGCAGACTGGCCGCTATAGAAAGCATCAAGCAAAGCGGTTAGGCCGCTGTAGCAAACGTGGGCATGCTGAGATGATGCAAGTTTGCGCGCAGATGCTCGTATACGGCCAGGGCTGCTGACGCGCAAACGCAGCGATGAAAGTCCGAGCTCTGGCGCGGTCACTTCGTCGAGAGAAACTCGTGGCCACTGGGCACGTCCACGTTGGCCTTGCTGCGCGCGTCTTTGCAGGTCTTGATGGCCTGCAGGCTGGCCCGCCTTCCTTCCCTGTGCGCTCCCCTGCGCCCCTCTGCATGCACTCCCCATGCTCCCCGACTCTCCCCTGCGCTCCCCTACTATCCCCTACTCGCACCTATCCTCCCCCTACTCTCCCCTACTCCCCCCTTTCTCCTGCTGCTGCTGCTCCTCCTCCTCTGCTGCTGCTGCCCCTCCTCCTCCTCACCCGCGAAGTCCCCCCCCCCCCCCCCTCAGATGGAAAGGCCTCCTTCTTTGTCGCCTGCTTCGTCTTCGTGGTGCACGGGGAGCTCATGGAAGCCTGCGTGTCTGCAAGGTCCATGAAGCGGACGAGGAAATTAGAACGCGTTGACTCGTCGTACACGCGCGGCAACTTCACGGAGCCAGCGGCCGCTGGCTTTGTCATAACGGGTTTTGCAGCCTTCTTGAGCTCAGGGGGTTCGCCATCTTCCTTCCTTGCCCTCTTGCGGTCGGCCTTCTGCGAACCGTAAGCCTCTGTGATCCTTGCTGCTGCTTCGGCTACGGTCAGCTTGGGCTCGGAACCCGTCAGGGCGTTAACGGCAGGCGCCGCTGGTGCTGCTGGCCCGTCTGCGAACGGTGCTGCAGCTGCTGCTGCTGCTGCTGCTGCTGGTGCGTCTGCTTCTGGTGCTGCTGCGGACGCTGATGCTGATGCGCTATGTGCTGGCGATGCTGCTGCAAGCGCATTTGGCCCTTGGGGAGGCGTCAGCGCTGCAAGCGCACCTGGCGACGCGGCAGGCTGGGGTGATGCAGCAAGCGCTGCAGGGGCCGCTGCATGCTGCATTGCAGCGCTGGCCGCTTGAAAAAAGCTCGGACCTTGCGCTATCCCGCTCGGCAGCCCTGTGAGAGATTGCTGCAACACCTGATGGAGCACCTGCTGGATCTGCGACTGCATCGGAAGCAGCGTCGGCATCATCGACGTAACCAACTGCGCGACCATCGCAGGCGGGGCGTCCTGGCTCGGCGGCAGTTGCTGATGCTGCTGCTGCTGCTGCTGATGCTGCAAAGAAGGCCAGTGTGGAGAACCTGCAGGACTCTGCTTCGAGACAGCTGGCTGCGCCCCGCGGGTGCTCCACGAGGAGCTCGCAACGCTTGCGGGCCGATATAAACGATGGCGCATCTTGGTAGTCTTCTTGAGGATGTTCCAGCCGGCGGAGTCGAGATCGAAACGCTTCGGCGGGAACACGCTGTACGCCCGCTGGTACGCAGTGGGGTAGTCGTTCGCCAGGTCACTAGGCACCGTCGGCAACTTCATGATGACAGGATTGGGGGTCGTCCGCGTACGCGTGGCCACCCTCTCCGCGAATAGCGTGCCGACGGCCAGCACAGAGTCCGTCCTTTGCGCAACGTCAATCTGAAGTGCGCCGTCAAGACCCTTCCCTGCTTGCATGAGCAGACAAGCCATCGTCTGCTTCGTGGGCTCTGAAGCTCTGCGGAGGCCGAGGTCGATCAGAAAGTCGAAGAGGGGGTTGGGGTCCCCTGTCGGCAGGGAATCCCAGATTGCCTGGGGCAAGAACTCGTGGAGCGACTCCCAGTCCTGAAGGCCAGCGACGCAACTGGCAGACTCGCCGTTGCTAGCCAGCTCCGAGATGCAGGTGTTGAGGGCTGCCTTGTCGGCGTCGGCGAACCGTGACTCCGCGATCGCCTGCAGAATCTGCTGAATGTCCTCTGGAGGCAACCTCGCCTTCTTGAGCTCCTTAACCACCTGCCCCGCTTGCGCGGCCGACGCCGCGGCAACCTGCAGCGGGTCGCAGAGCGACTGCAGGATGAAGTCGACTGCGGAGATGCGCCGCGCAATCTCAGGGGCGTCCATCCTGCGGCGCAACCGCCAGCGGCGACTTTAGCCGCTCTTGAGCCGTCGCGCTTCGCGGCTGTGTGCGTATGCTGCGGCGCGACGCTTGGATGGAGAGAGGCTGCGAAGCGGTCAGGCCGCTGATAAGAGGGGCCGTTCCTGGTTTTGCTCCTCCTCCTCCTGCCAGTTCCTCCTCCTCCTCCTCCACCTCCCCTTCATCCTTCTCCTCCTCATCTTCGTATGCTGCGCGCGAGCAACAAGCGGGCATGCCGCTGTGAAGCCCAAAGCGACGCACAAGCTGCGTGAACCAATTAGTAAAGATATAGCGGTCAGACCGCTGTTGCAAACAAGGGCGCATATACGCACGTTAGCGGTCAGGCCGCCGTAACAACTGAAGCGGCCAAGCCGCTGCAACGAGCAGGGGCGATATTGCGTGATATGGAACGTGAAACCAAATGCAAAGCGGCCTGGCCGCTGCGAAAGTCAGGGAAGAAGGAGAAGGGAAGGAGACAGACTGATACTATGCAAAGCGATCTGGCCGCTGTAGTATACATGGAGGAATAGAAGAGGAATGCAAGATCTGGCCGCTGTTGAATACATGGAGAAATCGAGGAGGAGTGCAAAGCGGCCTGGCCGCTGTAGAAGCCACACAGGAATAAAGGAGGAAGAACGAGAACATATGCGAAGCGGTCTGGCCGCTGTAGCAAGGTACGAGGCACATCATAGAGGAGTAAGAGGAGGTATCGAGCGGATGAAGAGCGGGACCCCCCCCCGCGGCGGCTCGCGCGGCATGTGTCAGGATGTCAAGCTGCAGGTAGTAGAAGCCGACCAAGAAGAACACCTCCTCCTCCCTCCTTCTTCTCCTTCTTCTCCCTTGGAGCACAACGTTCTGGCGTCGGTCAGACAAGGAAAAAATAGCGAAAAATAGTGAAAAATAGGGATAGTGGAAAATAGTGATAAATAGTGAAAATAGTGAAAATAGTAAAAAATAGTGAAAAATAATGGAAATAGTAGAAAATAGTAAAACCATACATATGTCTAGGGATTCCAAGTTCAGCTGATGATAGGACACTGTAAGCTCCTATAGATCCTATAGTGAAGCGCAGGGGGGACTATCGGTGACTACACTATCGGCATTCCTATGGAACCTATTGGGCCTCTCAATCAATCCTAACTCATCCAAACCTCTCCTAATATAGAACCACTTACCTATACTATAACCACATATAACTTCACACCCATCTAAGTGGGCCATCTTGGGGCCATTTGATGACTCAACAGCGCATCGGAAGCAACAGGGCGAGAATGCACAGGTCATTTATTTATCGCTTCGCTCATTCCGCCGGCCCTGGAGCGCTATTTAGGGCCTCTTGGGGCCGTCTTGGGGGCTTCTTGGGGGCTTCTTGGGAGCGTCTTGGGGCTCCTTGGCGGCGTATTAGGCTCCGCTGGGGCCTCTCAGGGGGCTCTTGGGGGCCCCTTGGGGCGGGGGGGGGTAGTCGTTGGCAGCCCCCCCCTCGGAGGCCACGATCCTTGTGAGGGGTGGCGAGAAATAGCCTCCCCCCTGGGGATCGCCCGGGGGTCAGCCGGGGATCAGCCGGGGTACTTTTCGTCCGGGGCCCCCCAGGGGCTGCCCCGCGCGCGCGAACTAGAAATATTGTTAAGTAGTTACTGGAGATCTTAGCACGCCTCTGGCCCGTCGGGCCGGCGAATTTTCAGTAGGTGTTTGAAGGATTTTGGCCTCTTGGCGGGGTCGTGAGGGGGGGACTCCGAGAGCACTTGGAACCGTTTTGTGGCCCTCGGTTTGGCTTGCTGCCTTCCCAGACTCCCGACACTATGATTTTCTCACGACGTGGGCCCCCAGAGGTCTGGACCCCTTCCTGGGACCAGTTTTTCATCCCGAGCAGTTGTTTTGACGGTCCGCGGCCCTGCGAGGGTCCCCGAAGGCCGAGAAGGCCAAAAACCTTCCATCGAGAAGTTTTCGCGACGCGAGGGGGTTTCTGGGCTGAAGCCTGGGGCTCTGGCGGCCGTTGGGGACGATCCGGGCATCCCCGGGACGCTCTCGACGAGGCGGAGCTGCTGGAAGCTATCCTGGAGGCTGGAAGACCTCCTGGAACCGACGAAAACATCCAAAAGCATTTTGAGGCTTCGAACCTTTTTTTTTTTTTCCACCACGCGAGGGGGCCTGGCTTCATCTCAGCGGAGTGCTCGATCCTTCCGCCGAGGAGATGGGGCGGGCCCGCGCGCCCCCCTGTCGGAGGGCAGCGGAGGTCCTTGTGCTCGCAGCTGGGGCCACCCGGCGGCCAGTTCACGGCGTACACCACGCCGCAGGCGCTCTTGGGGTGAGGAGTCGTTGGCTTGTTCTTTTATCCCGTTTCGCTGCCGCGCGATTTCGCCACCGCGCTCGGGCTTGGGCGGGGCGGGGGCCGGGGGGGGAGGTGGAGGGTGGGGGGGCGGGGGGGAGGTAGGTGTCGTGGACGCTGGGTACCACGAGTGACGTATCTCCCTGGAAGGCCAAAAATGCAGGGACTTGGTCATACAAATGAGCGCGTCTTGGGCTCGATGTGATGGGGGGCCCTAATTATTGCTTCGCAAAAAAGAGCGAAAGGGCCGGCGCAAACCTACCGCTGCAAGCGCGGTGGCGAATACGAAGTACCCTGAGATCCTGGCGCTGCAATTTTTCGACAACGGGCGACTTTGCTTTGTTTCGGGCCCCCGGATCCGCACATATCGATCCGGCTCGAAAAATGCAGCAGCCTGGTGGGGTCCAGGGTTCGGGTGGAGATTTTCCAACCCTCCGTTGTTTGGTTCTCGTTTTGAATGGAGCACTGGTCGCGTCTCTTCTTCCCGCCTCCCTCCTTTCTCTCTGTCTCTCTCATCCCTGGGGGGCTGCGATCTGCGAAACAAGCCCCTGGGGGCTGCGATTTGCGACACTGTCGTCACCTTCAAGGGTTGCCGGGGGGGCCAGCGCAGTGGCGTCATACGTGGACTCGGATTGGACCTCGCCATCCTTGGGGGGCTGCGTTCTGCGACATTGTCGCCACTTTCGAGGGCTGCTGGGGGGACCAGCACAGTGACGCCATACGTGGACTCAGTTTCCACGTCGCCATCCCTGGGGGGCTGCGATCTGCGAATCCTTTGCCTCTTTCGAGGGCTGCTGGGGGGGCCAGTACAGTGACGCCATGCGCGGACTCAGATGAGACCTCGCCATCCCTGGGGGGCTGCGTTCTGCGACATTGTCGCCACTCTCGAGGGTTGCTGGGGGGGACCAGCACAGTGTCGCCATACGCGGACTCAGTTTCTATGTCGCCATCCGTGGGGGGTGCTGTGATCTTCGAAACTGTCGCCATTTTCGGGGGCTGCTTGGGGGGCCAGCACGGTGATGTCATACGTGGGTTCAGATGAGACGTCGCCATCCCTTGGGGGCGGCGACCTGCGAAACTATCGTCACTTTCGAGGGCTGACGGGGGGGCCAACACTTTTGAGGGCTGCTGGGGGGCCCAGCGGAGTGACGTCCTATGCAGATTCAGATTCGACCTCGCCATCCCTTGGGGGCTCCGATTTGCGTCCCACGCGGACTCAGATTAGACCTCGCGGCGCGCCTGCGCGCCTGTACATCCCGCGTTGGAAAAGGCTGGGAAGAGGCCCAGCAGCTGGCAGAGCAGCTCGGCCTCGCGCAGTTCCTGCAGTGACTGTAACTGATTCGTGGTGCGCCTCGAAACATAATCTTTCTGCTTGTTCTGTCATTCTGTCGTCGTCCCTTCTTTCCTCCCTGTTGCCATGTCCTCTTGCTAGTTCCCCGAGGATTTTTCAAGATCGTCGTCCGCCTTCTCTTCTTAGCCTTCGCCATATCCATGAAGCCTTTGTCCGTCGATCGGTGTCCTGCGAGTCGCTCAGGTCGCGGGCCTTCAATTGATGTTGGCAGAACATATGTACACGCCATGCTATCACCCCCTTCTAAAGTCCACCCAACTTCTTAGGCCACGCTCTGCGCCAGGGTTGGGACCATCGTCAGGGTAACCTTTTGCTTTGAAAAATGTTGGCCTTGTTTTCGTGGCGTTTGATTTCAGGGTGGTCCTACATTCGGCGATCGATAACTGGCCTTACCAGGGGGCGAAAAGGGGAAGAGGTCGGTAACGCCACGGGTTGTGCTGGCGCCGTCCAGAAATTACCGACCCCTGGCCATGCCACGCCCAGGCGGCGCTGGCGCCAAGCGCGACGTTACCCCACTTGGGGTAGAAAAAGGGGTCGCCCATCGTAGCGGGCGTTATCGAGCTCAGGGGTGATGAGAAGTGCGTGCGAGGTTCAAACGTAATTCGTGACGCAATCGCAATCCCCCCTCCGCCTTATGGCTTCTTCTCCCCTTGCGGCTGCTCAGTGCGGGGCCAATCTAGCGCGCAGCCTTGAGAAGTATCGGCGCGCACTCGTGCGCAACCCGTGGGCGGGGCCCTACGGCGACGAAATCTCTGCGCGCGCCCATCTGAAATCCACAAATTGGGGACCCCTGCAAGCCCGAACCCGTCCGTAACCATTTTGGCTCAATCCATTTTGGCTCAAGTGGCCATTGGGCTCGAGCGGCGGGCGCTCAGGGAGCTCTCGTCCGGCCGGGTCCCTCGCGCGGCGCGGGCCCGGTGCATGGATGGCTACTGCGTGGCAGTGGAGCGGCCACCGCTCCCGGCAGGCTGGGGCTGGGCCTGGGCCTGGCGCCTTTGCCCGGTCCAGCTCGCCGACGGGCCGCTTCCCCGAGCGCCCGGGGAGTGGCGGGCAGCCGGCGGGCCAGGCGGAGCCGCCGCCTTGGGCGAGGCGGGCCGGAGCCGTGGGCAAGGCGAAGGCGCGCCCTCCCAGCTGGTTGCGGCGCCAACCGAAGGGGGGGCGCAGGGAGCGGCGGCGGGGGCCTGCTGCCGGGAGCCCTCGGTCGCCCCGCGGCAGCGCCTCCCCGCCTGGGACCGAGGCGTGAGGTTGCGAGCGCGCGAAGCGCAGCCACGGGTGGGCGCCGCCTCGCGGACGCGGAGGCAGCTCCAGGCGCGCGGCGGCCAGGCGGACGCGCCGCGCGAGCTTCCGGCTCAGGCCCGGGCCGGGACGGACCGGCCGTGCACCCAACAGGCGCGCGCGCCGCCCCGGCGAGGCAGCCGGCGGCGCGCGCGGAGCCCCAAGCTCGGCGCCCCCCGCGCCCGCGCCGTCGACGCCGCCGGATCCGCTGGGCAGCCCGGCGAGGCACGCGGCGGACCAGGCCAGCCCGGCGAGCTACGACACCGACTCCTCGGAGGCGGAGGGGGGCGGCGCCGCGGCGCCCGGCGCGGCCGCCGCCGCAGCGGCAGCGACCGCGGAGGAGGCCCCATAGCCAGCCGGGCCGCTGCAGGGTCTCTGCGGCAGCGGGGCATGCGTCTCCCGCTCTGGGCGCACAGGCAACAGCGGCAGCGCCTCCTCTTCCTGCGACTCCAGCAGCGGCTCCGCCGGCGGCCCAGGGGCCGACGGGGCGGGGCAGCACGGCGGCGGATCTCCACGAGATTCTGCGCCGGGCGGGCTGGGCCTGCTCGGCGGAGCGGCTGGGGAACGAAACCTTCCCGGTGAGGCAGAACCAAGACTGGGGGGGGCCTGGGCGCGAGCAGGAGCGCCAGCGCCCCGCCTGGAGGCGCGCTGAAGGACAGGCCCGGCGCGCGCGCCGGGCGCTGGCAGTTGGGCTCGGGTGAGCTCACCCCGCGGTCGCTCGACGGCGATCTTGAGAGGTCGTGCGACGCGCTGGGGGGCGCTCGCTCCCTGCTCGGCCCGGCGGGCGCCGGCTTCGGCCTTGCGCCGCAGCCCAGCTGGGCGGGCGCCCTCGAGCGCGAGACGCCGCCGGCCTGGGCTGGAGGCGGGCAGCTGGCGCCTGCGCCGGCGCGCCGCGCGCCCGCGGCGAGCGCGCCCCCTGCTGTGGAGGCGGCCAGCGCCGCGGCGAGCGCCCTCGAGGGCGGCCCGCGACGCCTCGGCCAGCGCTGCGGCGGGCGCCCCCGGGGCGGCCCGCGGCGCCACGCCGCGGCGCGGCGGCGGGCGCCCTACCGGGCGTGCCCACAGCCCGCGGCCGGCGACATCCGAGGGCATCGGGGGGCTGCTGCGGCAGAGCCTGTACCTGGCGCCTTCGGCGCGCCGTCTGGCCCGCCCTGGCACGGAGGGGGAGCACGAGCTCGCCCTCAGCGCTCGCCAGCGCGAGTTGCGGGGGTGCGACCCCCGCGCCCGCGTCGGCTGGGCGGTGGCTGCGGAGGTTCGCTGACCACCTTCAGGTCTCTCTGCGAGCCCCAGCTTCCGCGGCCGCGGCGGCGTCTCGCGGAGGCCCGGCCGGGGCGCTCGCCGCGCGCGAGGCAAGCGGCAGCCACCGACGCGACTCGGGCGTGAGCCGCGCGTCGCCGCCGTGGCCCGGCCGCGCCCGGGTCGCTGGCCCGGCGGGGGCGTCCAAGGGCCGCCTGGCGCTGGCGGCGTCGCTGCAGGCGGCCGGGCACGGCCGGGCTGCGCGCGGCAGGCGGCGCGGGCGCCCGCGGGCCGCCGCTGGGCTGAGCGGGGCTGCGCCTGGCGCGCGCGCCCCCCGCGTGCCCACGCCCCCTCCCCCTTCCCCTCTGGGGGGGGGGGGGGGTGGGGGGTGGGGGGGGGTACGGATGACCCCCTTCCCCCCCGCGCGCCTGTGTCGTTGTCGCGTCGTCTCTCGTCCCCGTCGTCGTGTCGCGTCGTTTCCTGATTCTTGCCGCGGGGCTCCTCTTGCGCTTGTTTTATTATCCCGGCGAAGCAACCTAAGTCGGAGGCCAGCAACATATGTACACGTACGCAGTTAGTTTCTCCTGGAGTGCGTGTGAACGCGGACGTTGGTGCAGGCAAGACCGCGGAGGGCGTGCGTGTACATATGTCGTTGCTCGCCCACTAAGAGCGATGTGTAGGAGCATATTTGGAAGCATTCCCCTTAAGATTCAGATGAGAATCCAGTTGTAGAATTCTGCTGTTCTCGCAGAATCGCCAGTCCTCATTTCGCTATGACAGTCGCAGTGGCAACGGCAGTCACAGCCTCAGCCTCAGCCTCAGCCTGCCTCAGCATCAGCCTGCCTCAGCCTCAGCCTCAGCCTGCCTCAGCCTCAGCCTCAGCCTGCTTCAGCCTCAGCCTCAGTCTGCCTTCAGCCTCGCCTCAGCCTCAGGCTGCCTCAGCCTCGGCCTGCATCAGCCTCAGCCTCAGCCTCAGCCTGCCTCAGCATCAGCCTGCCTCAGCCTCAGCCTCAGCCTGCCTCAGCCTGCCTCAGCCTCAGCCTCAGCCTCAGCCTGCTTCAGCCTCAGCCTCAGTCTGTCTTCAGCCTCGGCCTCAGCCTCAGCCTGCCTCAGCCTCAGCCTGCATCAGCCTCAGCCTCAGCCTCAGCCTGCCTCAGCCTCAGCCTGCCTCAGCCTCAGCCTCAGCCTGCCTCAGCCTCAGCCTCAGCCTGCTTCAGCCTCAGCATCAGTCTGCCTTCAGCCACGGCCTCAGCCTCAGCCTGCCTCAGCCTCAGCCTGCATCAGCCTCAGCCTCAGCCTCAGCCTGCCTCAGCATCAGCCTGCCTCAGCCTCAGCCTCAGCCTGCCTCAGCCTCAGCCTCAGCCTGCTTCAGCCTCAGCGTCAGTCTGCCTTCAGCCTCGGCCTCAGCCTCAGCCTGCCTCAGCCTCACCCTGCATCAGCCTCAGCCTCAGCCTCAGCCTGCCTCAGCATCAGCCTGCCTCAGCCTCAGCCTCAGCCTGCCTCAGCCTCAGCCTCAGCCTCAGCCGCAGCCTGCTTCAGCCTCAGCCTCAGTCTGCCTTCAGCCTCGGCCTCAGCCTCAGCCTGCCTCAGCCTCAGCCTGCACCAGCCTCAGCCTCAGCCTCAGCCTGCCTCAGCATCAGCCTGCCTCAGCCTCAGCCTCAGCCTGCCTCAGCCTCAGCCTCAGCCTGCCTCAGCCTCAGCCTCAGCCTGCTTCAGCCTCAGCCTCAGTCTGCCTTCAGCCTCGGCCGCAGCCTCAGCCTGCCTCAGCCTCAGCCTGCATCAGCCTCAGCCTCAGCCTCAGCCTGCCTCAGCATCAGCCTGCCTCAGCCTCAGCCTCAGCCTCAGCCTGCCTCAGCCTCAGCCTCAGCCTGCTTCAGCCTCAGCCTCAAGCTGCCTTCAGCCTCGGCCTCAGCCTCAGCCTGCCTCAGCCTCAGCCTGCATCAGCCTCAGCCTCAGCCTCAGCCTGCCTCAGCATCAGCCTGCCTCAGCCTCAGCCTCAGCCTGCCTCAGCCTCAGCCTCAGCCAGCTTCAGCCTCAGCCTCAGTCTGCCTTCAGCCTCGGCCTCAGCCTCAGCCTGCCTCAGTCTCAGCCTGCATCAGCCTCAGCCTCAGCCTCAGCCTGCCTCAGCCTCAGCCTGCCTCAGCCTCAGCCTCAGCCTGCCTCAGCCTCAGCCTCAGCCTGCTTCAGCCTCAGCCTCAGTCTGCCTTCAGCCTCGGCCTCAGCCTCAGCCTGCCTCAGCCTCAGCCTGCATCAGCCTCAGCCTCAGCCTCAGCCTGCCTCAGCATCAGCCTGCCTCAGCCTCAGCCTCAGCCTGCCTTAGCCTCAGCCTCAGCCTGCTTCAGCCTCAGCCTCAGTCTGCCTTCAGCCTCGGCCTCAGCCTCAGCCTGCCTCAGCCTCAGCCTGCATCAGCCTCAGCCTCAGCCTCAGCCTCAGCCTCAGCCTCAGCCTCAGCCTCAGCCTGCCTTAGCCTCAGCCTCGGCCTGCTTCAGCCTGAGCCTTAGTCTGCCGTCAGCTTCGGCCTCAGCCTCAGCCTGCCTCAGCCTCAGCCTGCATCGGCCTCAGCCTCAGCCTGCTTCAGCATTCAAAGTGTGGCCCGGAATGGCGTTCTGGGAACTCGAAGAACACGAAGTGGGCTACAGTTGGCCCCGGGCATTCAAAATGTGGCCCGGGAATGGAGTTCTGCGAATGAACTGGTCTACAGTTGGCTTCGGGCATTCAAAATCGTGCCCACGAATGGAGTTTTGGGAACTCGAAGACCACGAAGTGGCCTACAGTTGGCTCCGGGCATTCAAAATCATGCCCAGGAATGGAGTTCTGGGAATCCGAAGTCCACGAAGTGGCCGAGAGTTGGCTCCGGGCATTCAAAATCATGCCCAGGAATGGAGTTCTGGGACCTCGAAGTCCACGAAGTGTGTAACTGTTTGCTTAAAACGATTTCCGCGGCTTCTCCCCGGCACCCGCCCAGACCTCCCTGGGGAGTCAAGATGCTTTCTTTAGACATTAATAGAAACCTATCAGTCTTCGCCGTTAGGTAAAAAAGCCGCGAGCCCACACCCGTGCGCGATGCATGGCGGGGCCTCTTGGCCTCGCTGGGAACGGGCGGCGCCTCGGGCGCGCAGCGCGGGCCAGGCCTCGCGGCCGCGCGGCCGAACGCTTGGGTCTCCGGGCGCTTTGCGTGGTCGGGGCCCCGTGGCCGCGCCGATGGGGCCGCGGCTATTCATTGGTCCTCGACGTGCCCTTGCCTGGGGTCGGCCCGGGTGCCGAGGGCCGTCCGCTGGATTGGGCGTTTGCCGCTGCGCCCGGTCAGCCTGCCGCGTGCGCGCTGGTTCAGCGTCCGCGCGTCAGGGCGCGGCGACGCGCTAAATGGCTGGTTGTTTGATTTCACCGACATGCTTTGATTTTCGTCAGGGGCGTCTGGGGGCATCGTGGGTGTCCGCGGGGTTTAGAACAGCATTGAAGTGGTGATGCCTGTCCCACTTGGAGACGGGCACCGCTGCTCCGTTGCGTTTGGGCCTGCCCGCAGGAGCGTCGTTGCAATCTCGCGCCCCCCCGGGGGCCGCTGCGGCCGCGTTCGGGGAAGCTCTCGGGGGCCGCGCGTGCGCCCGGGAGCGATGTCGGCCAAGCGCTGCCTCGATTAGGTGCGGGTATGTCTCCGGGGGCGCCATCGACGCGCGTCGGCGACGGCGCCCCCCCGACGCGCGTCCAGACCTAGTTGGGGTGGCGCGGGTTTTCCAAGGGGCAGCCCCTGGCGACCGCGCCTGGCGTGGTGGGCCCCAGGTGCTTGGGGCGAGCGCGGGATTGCGGGGGCCCGCCTGGGGCGCCCGGGGCGCATTTTGCGCGTCGAGCCCGGTGCGCTTGATTGTGCGCCTTCGTGGGCGCGCCTCCGAACGAGCTACTCTAGCCCAAGAGCGACCTATGCGTGGTCGGCGCCCTGCCGATTGGAACGCGTGCGCCTTCGGTGCCGGCGGATTCCTGGAGAAGACAGCGTCCAGTAATGTCTTGCTGGCCTTCGCATCTGCTTTTGCGCAACCGCCGTCGGCCGCGGCGCGTGGCCCCCCCCGCCACTTGCCACCCCGCCTGGGTAAGGGTACGGGGGTATCTTTCGCGCTCGAGAGAGCTACGGCCGCGCCGGAGAATCCGCGGCGCCTCGTGCGCGACGAAATGGTGGGGCCCCATGGCCGCGCCGGAGAAGCTGCCGCTCCCCGCGTGCAGCGCAAGGGCGGGGTTTTGTGGCCGCGCGGGAGAATCTGCGGCACCTCGCGCGCAGCGCATGGTGGGCATGATGGCCGCGCCGAAGAGTTTGCGGGGGCTCGGGCGCGACGTGTTGGCGGGGCGTTTTGGCCGCGCTGGTGAATCCGCGGCCGTGGGCGCAAGGCGCGGGTGGAACGCCGCGCCCATGCGGGGGCAATTGCGGCTATTTTGGCGCGCAGCGCACGGTCGGGGCCTGCGCGTGTTCGTGCGGAGGAGTATGTTATACCTCGATCGCAGGAAGAGTTTGTGATAACTCGTGTGCGACACATGGGCAGGACCGCGCGGCCGCTCCCAGAACCCCGCGGCGCCCCGGGCGCGACGCGTTGGCGGGATATTCTCGGCGCGCTGATGAATCCGCGGCCTCCGGCCCAATGTGTGGGCGGAACCTCGCGATTTCGTGGCCGCGGCGAGGAATCAGCCGCGACCCGCGCGCAACGCGTGGACAGGCCATTATGGTCGTGCCAGAAAACGAGCGCCGCCGCGCGCGCGCGCAATCGGTGGTCTTCGTGGAACTTCGCGCTGATTGGCGGGGCCGTCTTGGCGCGCCTGAGAGAGCGTGAACTAATAGAACCATGAAGAAAGTCTCACAGGAAAAGTAAGAAGCGCCAGGCCGGTGCAATCACAGTCGGACCTGTTTCCATTCTGCATGTTTTATGTGGAGGTGGAACTGCACATGTAAGCAGAAGCGGAAGGACGAGTATGAGTAGGGATCTGCGCTTCACGCGTCTGCATGGATATAGCTTTACTTCCGCCGTCGGAATCGAAGTCGCAGTCGTCGCCGTAATTCCAGTTGCATTCATTGTCGTGCCTGTGGTCGCAGTAAAAAAACAACTTGCTGCCAAGTGTGTGTGTGTGGTGGGTGATTGGATTTTCGTGGGTGCAGCGGTATCGAGGTATCCGCTGCAAGCGCCGCTGCCGTACCAGCGCGGCACCATGTGTGAGGCAATAGTTTGTGGCAGGTCCCAGCCGTAGGACCCGAGTGCCATACAGTGTGACGCGTTTTTCCACAGGCTCGCGGGGTCCATCGGAATGTTGTCCCAATCCCAACAACTCTTGTCCCCCTCCTCATTATCCCGTTGCGTTCACCGCTGCTGCTGCTCCTCCTCTCCCCCGTCCTCATCCAGAGACGCCCGCGGCGTCCAGCCATGGTGAAGAGGGGCGCCTCCGAAAACCCAAACAGGACCAGAAGGAGAAGAGGAGGAGGAGGAAGAGGAGGAGGAGGAGGAAGAGGATGAGGAGGGACAGGATGATGATGATGATGATGATGATGATGATGATGATGATGATGATGATGATGATGATGATGATGATGATGCTCATGCTGATGCTGATGCTGATGCTGATGCTGATGCTGATGCTGCTGATGATGATGATGATGGTGACGGTGATGGTGATGGTGATGTTGATCGTGATGATGATGCTGATGCTGATGCTGATGCTGATGCTGATGCTGCTGCTGATGATGATGATGGTGATGATGATGATGATGATGATGATGATGATGATGATGATGATGATGATGATGATGATGATGATGATGACGATGACGATGACGACGATGAGGAGGAGGAGGAGGAGGAGAAGGAGGAGGAGGAGGAAAACGAGGAGGAGGAAGAGGAGAAAAACATGTGGTCATTTCGGCGAAAAGTTGACGTGCGGCATTCGCTACTCGTTTGCGGAAAATTTCGCCCCGGAGTCACGCTTCTCGGACCCACCGTTGTTTCCCAGAGGCTTTGCAAAGTGACCTCTCCAGAAATGCGTTTTGACAGGGACATCGGGTATGACCTGGCCGCGGTGACGACCAAACTGGGCAGAAGTCAAACATCCAGTGATATGTTTGTTCTGTCAGCGTGGCCCCAGAGGTGCCTACCCCTCCCCTGGGGGCTAGTTTTTTGTCGCGGGTCCATTTTTGGTGGTCGGGGGCCCGATCACGGGCCCAAATTGAGAGATTCATCTCCTCGGACATTTGGGAATGTCCAGAAAACCCGTCCCTCGATCCTCCTCCCGACGGCGCAGTACAAGCTCCACGCCTTCTCCACCGCCACCGGCTACCGCCTCGTCCTCACCACGGACCCGTCGGTGCGCGACCTGCAGGCCCCCCCCACAGAAGGAGGAAAAGGAGGAGGAGGAGGAAACGGAGGAGGAAGAGGAGGAGGAGGAGGAGGAAGACGATGATGATGATGATGATGATGATGATGATGATGATGATGATGATGATGATGATGATGATGATGATGATGATGATGATGCTGATGCTGATGCTGATGCTGATGCTGATGCTGATGCTGATGCTGATGCTGATGCTGATGCTGATGCTGAAGCTGAAGCTGAAGCTGAAGCTGATGCTGA